CTAACTTACACTAAGGTCATAACAATTGCTTACATTTCCCGAATTGCCATGTCATCACTAGCTAGGTTCATTTATTTATTTACTTATTTTTTGCCTACAGTGCTCTTGAATGCCCTTCCTACTTTCTGGCCTTGTTAACTGGCCACCTTGATTTCAAGCCCCAGCCCTGTATTTTCAAGGGATAGTTTCCTCTGGGGACTCTTGAGTAGAGTTAAATATAGTTGGCGTTCCGTATCCCTGGGTACCACGTCTATGAATTCAACCAACCTTGAATTCAGGAAAAAAGCAAATTTGAATTTGCTGCATGCCATTGAATCCATGTGAAGTGATGGGTAGACATCATATTAGGTGTCATGAGTAATTTAGAGATGATTTAGAGTATATGCGAGGATGTGTGTACATTACATGCAAATATTATATCATTTTATATGAAGGACTTGAGCATCCACAAATTTTGGTATCCACAGAAGGTCCTAGAATCAATCCCTCATGAGTAGAGACAACTGTACCCCCTGCCTTGTGCTGCTCTAACATCCTGTGCATTCCTTTTTCAGAGCACTTACCACATTGAATTGCCACTCTGGTTACCAACCACCCTAGCTTGTTGCTCCCTAATTCTAATTCTGTTCACTTGTTCCCGCTTACACTACAAGCCCCTTGACTCCATGGACTGTTTATATCACTGCTGATTATTATTTCCATTATACATACTGTCACTCTTACCATTTTTTTTTTTTTTTGGAGACAAAGTCCCACTCTGCCACCCAGGCTGAGTGCTGTGGTGTGATCCTAGCTCACTGTAACCTTGAATTCTGAGGCTTAAGTGATCGTCCTGCCTCAGCCTCCTGAGTAGCTGGAACTACAGACGTATACCACCATGGAGATGCCTAATTTTTAATTTTTTTGTAGAGATGAGGTCTTGCTATGTTGCCCAGGCTGGTCTTGAACTCCTGGACTCAAGTGGTCCTCCCACCTCAGCCTCCCAAAGTGCTGGGATTACAGGATTGACTCTCTTGCAATCTTTTTTTTTTTTTTTTCTCTTTCAATCTTAACTCATTTTAGTAATGAGATTATTAGAGGATAGTAGGAAACAGGTAAGTGGAAAGGTCACTGGTCCTATCAACAAGTACTATAGATAGTTCCCACTGCGATGTGGTTTGAAGGACGTTAAAAAGTTATTTAAAATTATTTTGGTTACAAGACTGTCAGAGTGCCAGTGAAAAACTTCTCCTCTAGCTTTTTAAGTGAAACAACACCTTGATTATTTAATATATTAAGATGATTTTTGTTTATTCTTCCCTTTAGTGCTCTTTGTAACTTTGAACAGTTGTTTAAATACTGCTATTTAATATTGCAGTCCATACCATTTCAATCCCATACTCCCCTACCCTGCCCTACTTGCTATATTTTCCAAACCACAAATCATCTTCTAACATGCTGGTTGAGTATATTTCTTTATTACGTCTATAGTCTGAGCCCTATTCCCCATCACCACAGGATAAGGATCTTTATTTTGTTCACCAGTATAGCTAAAGTATCTACAAAAGTGCCTGGCACATAATAGATGCTTAATAAGTATTTGTCAAATGACTAGCTCTGCCAAAAAGAGGGATGAGTCCTCTTTTTGGGACAACTCATTCTAATTATTCACAAAATGAAAATTTTACAATGTCAACAGAGGCCATTTACCACCTTGCTTGAGGATAAAATAGTATTCCCTTTCTGGCAACCAATTATTACTTTCTTGACGTTTTTTTTTTTTTTTTTTTGAGACACAGTCTTATTCTGTTGCCCAGGCTGGAGAGTGCACTGGCACGATCTTGGCTCACTGCCTCCTGGGTTCAAGCGATTCTCCTGCCTCAGCTTCCAGAGTAGCTGGGACTGTGGGTACCCACCACGAACCCCGGCTAATTTTTGTATTTTCAGTAGATGGGGTTTTGCCATGCTGGCCGGGCTGGTCTCAGACTCCCGCCCTCAGGTGATCCGCCCACCTCGGCCTCCCGAAGTGCTGGGATTACAGGTGTGAGCCACCGTGCCAGGGCCCCTTGACAATTTCTTTAATTGAAATGTTGAAAACAAGACAACAGGTCCGGCACAGTGGCTCACACCTGTGATCCCAGCACTTCGGGAGGCCGAGGTGGGTGGATCACCTGAGGTCAGGAGTCCGAGACCACCCTGGCCAACATGGTGAAATCCCGTCTCTCCTTAAAATACAAAAATTAGCCAGGTGTGGTGGCCCATGACTGTAGTGCCAGCTACTCAGGAGGCTGAGGCAGGACAATCACTTGAACCAGGAGGTGGAGACTGCAGTGAGCTGAGATCATACAACTGCACTCCAGCCTGGGCGACAGAGCAAGACTCCGCCTCAAAAAATAAAAAATAAAATGTCAACATAGTGTCTAAACAAAGAAGAACTTCTAAAAGTAATTTCTAGATATTATATAGCCTCCTTCCTTACTGCAATGTGTACACAATGTCTGGGAAAGGGACACTGCAGATCTTGGTGACATTTCTCCAAAAGCCACAATAGTTACAGCCTTTTTATTTCCAGCTGTTTACAAGAAAAAAATAAGTATTCCTTCCTGTCTTCAGGGTCCATGAAGAGGGGCCCTACAGACTTTTGAAATTCTTAAAACAGTAGTGTTTCTCAAATTTGCACAGTACACTGCAGTAGCCAGCCTCTAAGATGGCCCCCAGTGATCCTCGCCTCCTGATATTCACATCCTTGTGTGGTCCCTCCAACAGTGAATCAGGGTTGCTCTGTGTGACCAACAGAGGAAAGAAGTCACAGTATGTTTTCCAAAGCTTCATCATAAAAAGCACTGCAGAGTCTGCCATGTCAGTCAGTCACCTCAGAAGCACATTCTCCAGCCCCAGTCAAGCCTTCAGATGACTGCAGTCCCAGTTGACATCTTCCTGCAACTTTGAGACCCTTAACCAGAACTTAGCTTTCAAATTCTTGACCTACAGAAATTGTGAGAGGTAACAAATGATTATTATTATTTTAAGAGTTTTTGGTTAATCTGATAGGTAGCAACAGATAAATATGCAAAACTCTTCTAAAGTAAAAAAGATTTCTGGCCCTAATGAGTTAAAAACATCTATATTCTTTTACTTAAACACAAACATGTGGAATAAACTCCTTAGGCTTATAGCTTTTGTACGATTATCAAAGAAAACAGATGATCACATTAAATATAATACAGCAAACAGGCTAGGCATGGTGGCTCACACTTGTAATCCCGGCACCTTGGGAGGTCAAGGTGGGCAGATCATGAGGTCAGGAGTTTGAGACCAGCCTGGCCAACCCCATCTCTACTAAAAATACAAAAATTAGCTGGGCCTGGTGGAACACACCTGTAATCTCAGCCACTTGGGAGGCTGAAGCAGGTGAATCGCTTGAACCCAGGAGGCAGAGGTTGCAGTGAGCTGAGATTGTGCCACTGCATTCCATCCTGGGCAACAGACTCCGTCTCAAAACAATATATAGATATAATTTTTTTTTCAGCAAACAATATTATAATACAAATAAGATGTAATTTCAACAGAGGGTTGGTTTGCTGAAACTACTATGCCTCTCATTGAGACGATGGCAGGGCCTGGGGAGTCTACTGCTGACTGTTCAGTTAGTTACTCAAAGTATTTTTTGCCCCTAAGCCTGTTTGAGGTGAATCTTCTATCATCCAAGACTTTTTCTCAACAATACAGTCGCATTGTTTCCACAACTTGTGGAAACTTAAAAAACAAAAAACAAAACAAAACAAAAAACGCGACCGGGTGCGGTGGCTCACACCTACAATCCCAACACTTTGGGAGGCCCAGGCGGGCGGATCACTTGAGGTCAGTAGTTCAAGACCAGCTTGGCCAACATGGTGAAACCCCATCTCTACTAAAAAAAAAATACAAAAATTAGCTGGGCGTGATGGTGAGCACCTTTGTAATCCCAGCTACTCGAGAGGCAGAGGCAGAATTGCTTGAACCCGGGAGGCGGAGGTTGCATTGAGCCCAGATCGCGCCACTGCACTCCAGCCTGGGCGACAGAGACTCCATCTGAAAAAACAAACAAAACAAAAACGTCCCATAGCCCAGCCGCTCGTTCTCATCCTTCTTTCCCATCCTCACCCCAGTGCCCTCACCGCCCGGTCCCCGCTTTCCTGCAGCCTCGGCGCGGGCCCAAAGGGCCAGGAGGGTTCCCGCTTGGGGCACAGCCGCACAACGAGGGGCTAGCATTCTGCCTGGAAGGCGCGCTGCGGCCGCCCTTCCCCAGGTCCCCAGAGCCCACGTTCTCCCAGCTCGCCCGGCTCCCGTTTCGCTCCCAGCTCCAGTTTGAACCCGGAGCACGTGCAGTTCTACCCTGTTTGGCCCATCGCCATCGTGCTCCAGTCTAGTGCCCCGCTCGCTGTCGCCCTGAGTTCCCAGAGCACAGATCCGGGCAAAGAGCCGGGAACCCACTACACCAGAGCTAGTCCCTGATATTTCACCGCTCCAGACACGGGCACTCGGGCTTCCTCGCCCCGCGCTCTGCGGGCCAAGGAGACGTCAGCAGGATCCCACTACCCACAGCAAGCGAACAAGCGAGCACCCAGAACAAAGAAGGTCTGGGTGATTTCACACAAGAGCCAGTCAGATTTCCTTCAAATCTGAGGCAAACCGCAATCTCAGTCTCAGCGCATTTCCCCTTCGTGGCTGGGGAAAGCCTCTGAACGCCGGGTAGCCGGCACTACCTCCCCTGGGCCGTGTGGTGGCAGCAAATGTCAAGAGGAGATGCGCATGCTCCGTGTGGGACTTTGAGCTTCGCTTCCGCGGCCGCCGAGTGACGGAACGCACGCTTAGGATTATGGGAAATGTGGTTTTTAAACGTTAGCATCCCACGGGCGCCCCCTGCCTGGGCCCGGGGCGGGACTTCAGCTCCCGGCCGGCCGATGGGCGCCGGTGGGAAAGCGGGAGGAGAGGGCGGGGCGAGTGGGAGGAGCCGGTGGAAAGGCTGGGTGGAGAGGGCGGGGCTTCGGCCGGCTAAGCCGCCGCCACCCGCGGTCGGAGGAACCGGAGAGCGGGGCCGGGAGCCGCGAGGAGCTCCAGACGGCGCGGAGCGCGAAAGCGGGCGTGCTCGGAGTGGTCGCGCGGGCGTTCGCCGTCCCCCCTCAGTCTCCGCACTTGCAGGTCCCCTCCCTCTCTGCCGGGACGCGGGAGAGCCCGGTTCGCGGCGGGGGCGGCCAATGCGAAACTGGCTGGTGCTGCTGTGCCCGTGTGTGCTCGGGGCCGCGCTGCACCTCTGGCTGCGGCTGCGCTCCCCGCCGCCCGCCCGCGCCTCCGGGGCCGGCCCTGCAGGTGAGTTCCTGGGGCCAGGCGGGCGGCCGCTGGGGGCGAGAGGCCCGGCTCCACGCCGCGGAACTCCACTGGGAAGGGGGGGGGGGGGGGGGGGGGGGGAAGGGCCAAATGCGACGGTCCCCAGACGAAACAAACGGCTCTTTTCATCTTTGGAGCGTTAACATCGGGCAAACTTGAGGGAGCTTTTGTCTTTTCGTGTCCCCGCGGCTTCTCACCTCCCCGTTTGCCGTGACGGCCGCAGAGCGGGCGCCCGCAGCTGCAAGTCCTTCGCCCGTCCGCAGGCCTGGTCGGCGATGTCCGACGCCGCCCGCTCGCCCGGGAGGGGAACCTCGTGTGCCCTTCAGCCTCCAGCGCCTGCTGCTTTGGAAGCTCGGGTTCTGAAGTTGGTTTCTTCCTCCCCAAGTTGTTGGTCTTTTCTCGGTCAAGACTCTGGGTTTTTAGTGCCATGGATAATGTGTGTGCGTGTTTTCAAAGGTGGCTGGGTTTTGCTTTTAAGGAATAACTTTGCTGGAAGAATATACTGTAGTTCGTATTCTTGGATCGTGATGTAAGTCGGTTAAACAAATCTAGACATGAAATAGGGCATGGCCGTGAGTGGAGTTTTTCCTGTGAGTTTGGTTCGCATAGCCTGCTAATGCCATTTATATGGAAATATCAAATTCCTTAACGATCGTGGCCATTTGCTCTAAAACTTCGTCTCTCTCAGGAATGAAACCTTTGTTCTTGTTTCGCTTCACAGCCTAATAGAATGCTTTACTTGCAGTGGGTGCCCAGCGGATTATTTCGTTAATGGGTTCCACCACCCTGAACACTACTTTAGGTTTCCCTATTTTGTCTTCTTCCTTAACTTGCCCTAGGACATAAAAGAAACCTAGAAAGCTCTTTTAAAGATTATATAATAGTTATTTTGTAACTATACTGGGACTTATTTTTCCCCCCTTATCTCATTCCAAAACAGCTGTTTTCTTATCCAAAAGTTCTTAAAATTAGAATTATTTGTAGTTCAGCACTCTATGCCTTATAAGTAGAAAGTATTCGGCAATCCTCAAAACAATCTCGGTTATATGAAATTATATTGAGGTTATTTTGGTAACAGTCTCTTTTCCTATTAGATCACCAGCTCTTTGAAAAGGGTTTGTGTGACCTGAATAGAATTAAACACTATTTAAGTGATTTAATGAAAGTACGGTGTTACAGTACTCTTAACCAGTTAACAGGTCAGGGTTTTGTTCAGTGTTGTTTTTTAGGTTTTTGTAAAGTGAACTGAGAAGAGAGTGCCATATATTAAAACTGCTTTGTAACTTCTGTTTGTGAGTTACAGGTTTCTCTCTTTTGTTGTATGAGTGAGCCCAGCTGGACTCTATTACAGAGTCCTTAGTATATTTATGACCTTAATGGTTGTTTAGGGTTCAGTAAAACAAAAACCCTGCCTTCAAAGTGAATTCTTAGTAGACTTGTTAGGCAGTCTCTTAGTTTGAGACAAATTTTTCCTACTCCCTTACTGCAGATGAAGGATGATACCTTTATTTGCCATCCAGTTACACCAGGCTAGATTTAGGAAATGAAGAGGTAGACTATAGTAAAGGGCAGGGTAATAATATAGGTAAGAACATCAATACTAGTTATGTGAATCTGGCTTTGAATGAATACTGTGTATCTGGTCAGATAATAAGGTTTTGTTTTGTTTAAGTTCCTGGATACGTGTGCCGAATGTACAGGTTTGTTACATTGGTAAACGTGTGCCCTGGTGGTTTGCTGCCTCTGTCAACCCATATTTTTTAATAATCTAAATTAAACTTGACTGGCCAGACGCAGTGGCTCACACCTGTAATCCAGCACTTTGGGAGTCCCTGGTGGGTGGATCACCTGAAGTCAAGAGTTCAAGACCAGCCTGGCCAACATGGTGAAACCCCGTCTCTACTAAAAATACAAAAATTAGCTGGGTGTGGTGGTGCACACCTGTAATCCAGCTACTCGGGTAGCTGACGCAGGAGAATCACTTGAACCTGGGAGGTTGCAGTGAGCCGAGATCATGCCATTGCACTCCAGCCTGGGCAACAACAGCGGAACTCAAAAAGATTCATTCATTCATTCATTGAACATAACTGACTCCTACCTTTCTTTTTTTTCCTTTTGGTACTTTCAAAAGTAAAAGCATGGAAGCATCTTAAATGCTAACATTTCCCACAGTTCCTTTACCATTGTGCTGTCACCATGATTAAACTAAAATCGTTGCATGTGTTTACATTTTAACCCTTATACTTTAAGCCTAACAGGAGAGAAAAAACCCAAGATTTTACTAAGTATTCTT